TGAGATGAGTTCTCACTCTGTTGCCCAGGCTGGAGTGCAGTGAGGCAATCATAGCTCACTCACTGTATCATTGAACTCCTGGGCTCAAGCCATCCTTCTGCCTCGACCTCCCAAGTAGCTGGGACTACAGGTGTGAACTACCACATTTGACTAATTTAAAAAAAAATTATATTTTGTAAAGATGGGGTCTTACTATGTTGCCCAGGCTGGCCTCAAACTCCTGGCCTCAAGTGATCCTTCTGCCTCTGCCTCCCAAAGTGCTGGCATTATAGGCATGAGCTACCTCCTTTGGCCTGTCTGCTTCCCTTTAAGGAAGCTTCTAGGAAGACCCACTGAACATATATCCACTTACAGAAACATGGCCACATCCTGCTGCTAGTGAGCTGAGAAATACAGACTAATATACTGCATATACTGTGCAGAAAAGCTTCCAGCTAGGCCAGGTGCAATGGCTCAAGCCTGTAATCCCAGCACTTTGGGAGGCCAAGGCAGGTGGATCACCTCAGGCCAGGAGTTCGAGATCAGCCTGGCTAACATGGTAAAACCTGGTCTCTACTAAAAATACAAAAATTAGCTGGGTGTTGTGGTGCGTGCCTGTAATCCCAGCTACTCAGAGGCTGAGGCAGGAAAATTGCTTGAAACCAGGAGGTGGAGGTTGCAGTCAGCTGAGATCACATCACTGCACTCCAGCCTGGGCAAGAGAGTGAGACTCTGTCTCCAAAAAAAAAAAATAATAATAATGTTCCAGTCAAAAATCAGGGTTCTGGTTTGCATGTTGGGAAGGGAGACAGGAATGGGTGGACTAAAAGGTCTTTTCTTAGGAAGTAACAATCTGGAACTTGAATGACAAGAAGCCTCTGGTTAGATGATGGGAGCAGAATGTTTCAGGCAAGGGAAACAGCATATGGAAAATGGTGATTCTGTGGAAACAAAGTCTGAAACGTAACGAGGAGGAAAGGAGATGAGTCTGGGAGATGGGCAGTGGCTAGACCATACAGGCCTTTACTTGTCAGAGAATTGCTTTCATTTAAAAAAAAAAAACTGAAAAATTTTAATTGCACTGGGAATTTATTTATTTATTTATTGACAGAGTCTCGCTCTGTCACCCAAGCTGGAGTGCAGTGGCACGATCTCAGTGCACTGCAACTTCTACCTCCTGGGTTCAAATGATTCTCGTGCCTCAGCCTCCACGTAGTTGGGATTACAGGTGTGTGCCACCATGCCTGGCTAATTTTTGTATTTTTAGTATAGATGGGCATGAACACCATTTCATCATAATGGCCAGGATGGTTTCAGACTTCAGACCTCAGGTGATCTACCCACCTTGGCCTCCAAAGTGCTGGGATTACAGGCATTAGGCACTGCACCCTGCCTGCAGTGGGAATTAATTTTAAAGGAAGGAAGTGACATGCCTTAGATTGTTGCTAGTGCTGATATATAGCAGATGTTAAAGAAATCTACCCTTAAGTACACTGGAAATGTCTTGGTTTTTAATCCTGATTACATCCCTGGTCATTTAATGGGATGTGGGAAATTATTGATTGTTTTTGCCTTATATCTATAGGCAACATATAAAATTATATTTGCTCATCAGCTACCTAAAACTAGTAATACCATGAAGCAAATAAAAAGTAAAATGCTTTCCATTGGGGATGTGGATTACAGCAGATATGAGAAGGTTGTGTGTGTGGTGTGTGTGTGGGGTACTAATAAATAAGAAAAAGTCACATGTGTGTATCTGTGCTTGAGGCAGCTCTTTGAGGATGTGTGTAAATCAAGAAAAGGGCTTTTATTTAGATTTCTTTAATCGTAGCTTTGCACAGTGACAGTATTGTAGCCAATGAGGTTTATCTGAGGCGCGATTACTGCTAAGATTTCTTTAATCGTGCCTTATTAATTTTATTTTCTTTTTTAAGGTCACTAGGTATTTGGTAGGAATCTGAATCATACTGCTGGGCAGTGCTAGACAGCAATATTGACGTTTGTAAATTTACACTTGGCTTCTTAGTTTCTGTTGAGCAATTTGCGCTGCTTCAACACCATAAATGAGAGATGATGGTAAGCAAAACTTCAGCCTTCAGCTTTCCTGATGTATTAGGAATTGCCACAAATGCCTGTCTGTGGTTGCCCTCTACTGGACTAGTTAAGCCTAACGTTTAAAAGCCACTAGACGACGGTCCCCTTTGTAATATCCTCTACTGGCAGAGACTACTCACCCTTTAGGCCTGAGAGAGGCCTCTCAGCACCCCCCTTTCTCTCACCATCTCTGATAATGTGTTTGGATGACTATTTGATCAACGTCTGTCTCCTCCCTGTCTACACAGGCTGTACTCTGCATGAGGACAGGGACTCTGCCTCCGAGTGGCTGACACCATTCTTCAATAAATATGTGTTCGATGGATGAATGAAGGGGGAATGAAGGGCCCAAATGTCAAGAGTGAGCCTTTCACACTTCACTCCAGCTGCCTGCAGCACATAGGAGAAAATATAAATTCAAAGCATCTGTCTTGGAAAGTTTTTCTAAGCAACTTATGCTACTCTTAAAAACCCTGTTGGCCAGGCGTGGTGGCTCACACCTGTAATCCCAGCACTTTGGGAGGCCAAGGTAGGTGGATCATGAGGTCAGGAGATGGAGACCATCCTGGCCAACATGATGAAATCCTGTCTCTATTGAAAATATAAAAATTTGCTGGGTGTGGTGGTACATGCCTATAGTCCCAGCTACTCAGGAGGCCGAGGCAGGAGAATCTCTTGAACACAGGAGGCGGAGGCTGCAGTGAGCCAGGATCGCACCACTGCACTCCAGACTGGGTGACAGAGCGAGACTCTGTCTCAAAATAACCCACAAAAACCCCGTTTATTAAAGTATTACATATATACAGAAAAGTGCACAAATTGCAAGTGTCTAGTTCAATGAATTTTCAAAAACTGGTCATACCCCTATAACCAGTATATAGATTAAAAAATAGAATGTCACCAGAAACCCACCTGTGCCCTTGTGATTTTAACAGTATAGAGTTCTTCTGCCTGTTTTTATATTTATAAAAATGAAATAATACAATATGTACTGTTTTGCATCTGGCTTCTTTTCTTTTTCTTTTTTTCTTTTTGAGACAGAGTCTCATTCTTGTCACTGGAGTGCAGTGGCATGATCTTGCTCACTGCATCCTCCACCTCCTGGGTTCAAGTGATTCTCATGCCTCAGCCTTCTGAGTAGCTGAGACCGCAGGTGTGCAGCACCATGCCTGGCTAATTCTTATATTTTTCTGTAGAGAGGGGATTTCACCCTATTGCTCAGGCTGGTCTTGAACTCATGAGCTCAAGCAATCTGCTTGCCTTAGCCTCCCAAAGTGCTGGGATTACATGTGGGAGCCACCACACCTCGTCTTGGAATCACATTTCAATGTTTCGGTAAAGATGAGCAGAAAAGGGCCGGGCGCGGTGGCTCAAGCCTGTAATCCCAGCACTTTGGGAGGCTGAGGCGGGTGGATCACAAGGTCAAGAGATCGAGACCATCCTGGTCAACATGGTGAAACCCCGTCTCTACTAAAAATACAAAAAATTAGCTGGGCATGGTGGTGCATGCCTGT